AAATTGATAGAGATAATTTTTTTTTTAAAAAAAGAAGAGTAATACACTATAAGTGAATAAAAAAGTGAAAAAAGAGAGAATATCCTATGAATTATTATAATAATCCACAATGCAACAGGTATGGTGAACAGTGAATTCTTCGTACCCTTTAGTTTTATGTATAATAAGATAAAAAAAATAGTATTCAAGATTGCATGTATTATAAATATTATTTACAAATAAATAACTTTTATTTTTAAAAATAAAGTTTATGTATACAAGGCACGAGAAAACAAATCATGTATGAATCATAATAATATCCTAAAAAATTAAATACACATAAAATAATTAAAAATAAAAACTATTTAAAAAAAGTAAGATAAAAATAATAATACAGTAGAGATATTAATTAATGCATAAATTAAAACAATGATTTGAAACAGACATTAAAAGGTATCAATTAAAATAAAAATAAAATTAGAATAAAACAATAAAAAAAAGGCAACAATAGCCTAGGTGATGCAAGTGTGATTTAAATAAATAAAAAAAGCAAACAACTCGAGTTATAGCATTTATTGGATTTAAGATATTGGTTTGATTTTAATTAGATGATGAAAAAACAAATAATGATAATAAACTTAAGTAGTTTTTTTTTTTAAGAGATCACTATAACTTGGAGAGAGAAAAAAAAAACCTTTAGAAGTGTGAAACTAAATAAAAAAGAGACAAGCATAACTAGTTTGGGTCAATCTAAGGTAATGTGATAGATATGTAATCCGAATAACAAAAACGAGTCAATTAGGGTTAATTTATAGAACCTGTGGTTCAAATTATAAGATTATAATAACCTGATAAAAAAATTAAAGAAAACCATGAAATCAATATAAAAAAAATCAATGTTAAATGATAAAATTTAAAAAATAAGATAAGTAATATTTTTTATCCATATTAACTTTTCAAATTCATGACCTATATTATCAAACAAAAAACATAATACATAAAAAAAAATACAAAGCCTAATTCTCAGCAAATGAAACAATAAAAAAAAATATTAAATTGAAATAAAATTACAAAAAAAATCTAAAATAAAATGTGGTAATGAAATGAATGAGGGTGAAAATTAAAATAAAAGATAAACTAGAAGGCAACACAAAAGTTTCGATTTGAGGGTTAACATGGAAAAAAATAAAAAAAATAAGGATCAAATTGGATAAAACAATACACACAAAACTTGGATAAATTTTTTATAAAAGAACTAGGGAAAATTAGAAATAAAAAAATAAAAATTAAATTGAAAAAATAATATAAGATATATTTGAGTTAAATGACTAGATTGAAAATAAAAGAATTATAAAAAAATCAATAAAAAAATAAAAAAATAAAGATAAAAATTTAACAACAAAAATCCAAATGACCAACCTGTATTTCTTTTGGGGAGGATAGAGAAAATAAAAAAAGACTCTTATACAACAAGTTGCCCAATGCATACTAAAATATGTTGTTTTAGGAGGAAAAGAATGTACTGACACCTTAATTAAGGTGATAAAATGTTAGATTTGGCCACTAAAAATATTGCACCGTTTTCATAAGTGCTGTATGCACTGATAATTTTTAAAAATTAAATATTAACTAATAAATTAAAAAACCAAATTACCTAATGGTTATGAAGTTGATAAGAAAATCAATGTAAAATGAAAATAATGGCCTTGAACGCATAACTTATTTTTTCTTGAATTTAAAAGTAAAAAGGTTTTATTATATTTTTAAAAGAAAAAAAATAAAATAATCTGATCAATATATTTAATATTTTCTTGAATTAGAGAATGATTTAATTATTTTATTGTTTTAAAATTTTTTAAAAATAAATATTTAATTTTTAATGACTAATAAATTATAAGAAAAGATAAGATTAGCCCAACTAAAATAATTTTTTTTTAAATAGCCAAAAAGTAGTATCAATATAGCAATGACTACTTTTTTTTCCCCTGGATGTATAATGTTTTTGCCACGTTTATTAGAGATTTTGTAATTTTGACAAACTATGATGATTAAGTTGTCATTAACTCAAAATTAATCAATAAAAGAATGAAAAAGGGTCAAGAACAGACAAGTACGACGCGTGGAGGGTTCATCTACAAATAGACAACAAGAGAGGTTCAAAATCGACTTTCTTGCAACTTCTGTTCCTCGACTTCGACAGTTTCCTCTTCTGTCAGAATCTTCAAACTGATGGACTGAGACGAAACCCTCGAGCAAAGTGCTAGTTATACTTTCACAAAAATGGATCCTTTTCTACTTAATCAAAAACACACTCTAACAATCCTCAAAACCCACAAAAGATATAACTTTATCACTCATCTTCTAAATCCTGCTTCTAAATCTAGCTTTAGATGTCTCCAAACAATAGAAACCTCTCAAAACCCGTATAAAGAACCATTTTCTGCAGCAACAACCCTGCCTGATTCTTTATTGGTGGAGAAGATCATCTTCAATTTAAAGCATGGTAATGTAAATTCTCTGCTTTCTTATCAACTTCGCTTGGACGCATCAGTTGTTGTTGATGTTTTACGTCGTTGTAATGGTAATTTGCAACTTGGTCAAAGGTTTATTGATTCGTTAGTGCTAAATGGTTCAAACTTTAAGCATTCATCCGTTTCATTGAGTGCAATGGTTCATGTTTTTGTTCGTAGTAGAAGATTATCTGATGCACAAGCTTTGATTCTTAGAATGATTAGGAGAAGTGGGGTTTCGAGGGTTGAGGTTGTTGAGGCTTTGGTATCATCGATATGTGGCAATTGTGGGACTAATAATTTGGTTTTTGATTTGTTGATAAGAACTTATGTGCAAGCTAGGAAGTTAAGGGAAGGGACTGAGGCGTTTAGAATTTTGAGGAGTAAAGGGTATTTGGTGTCTATAAATGCTTGCAATAGTCTTCTTGGAGGGTTAGTGAAGATAGACTGGGTTGAATTGGCATGGGAAGTGCATAGGGAAGTTGTTAGAAGTGGGATTGAATTGAATGTTTATACATTAAACATTATGGTCAATGCTTTGTGTAAAGATGGTAAATTTGATGATGTCAAGTCATTTTTAAGTGAGATGGAGGGACAAGGGGTTTATGCAGATATGGTGACTTGCAACACTTTAATTGGTGCATATTGTCGTGAAGGACTTTTAGAAGAAGCTTTTGAGATAATGAACTCTATGGCAGATAAAGGTTTGAAACCGAGTCTTTTTACATATAATGCTATTATAAATGGTCTGTGTAAAAAGGGAAGATATGCTAGAGCAAAGGGAATTTTGATTGAGATGCTGAACATTGGGTTGAGTCCTGATACCACAACGTATAACACATTGCTTGTTGAGAGCTGCAGAAGAGACAATTTTTCTGAAGCCAAAGAAATTTTTGGTGAAATGTTACGTCAGGGTGTTGTTCCTGATTTAGTAAGCTTTAGTTCCCTTATTGCAGTTTTTTCAAGGAACAGACACCTTGATCAGGCATTGGTGTACTTTAGAGATATGAAGAAATTTGGTTTGGTTCCAGATAATGTGATTTACACTGTTCTTATGCATGGTTATTGTAGAAATGGCAATATGTTGGAGGCATTGAAGATACGGGATGAAATGCTGGAGCAGGGTTGTGTCTTGGATGTGGTTGCATACAATACTATATTAAACGGGTTGTGCAAAGAAAAGATGCTCACAGATGCAGATAAGCTGTTCGATGAGATGGTGGAAAGGGGTGCACTCCCTGATTTTTACACTTTCACCACACTTATTCATGGCCATTGTCAGGACGGGAATATGACTAAAGCACTAAGCTTGTTTGGGACAATGACTCAAAGGAATATCAAACCAGATATCGTGGCATACAATACATTGATTGATGGGTTTTGCAAGGTGGGTGAAATGGAGAAAGCCAGTGAGTTATGGGATGGTATGATCTCTAGGAAGATTTTCCCCAACCACATTACATACGGCATATTAATAAACACGTATTGTAGCGTGGGCCATGTGTCTGAGGCCTTTAGATTGTGGGATGTGATGATTGAAAAGGGTATTAAACCCACCCTTGTCACTTGTAACACTGTTATAAAAGGCTACTGTCGGTCAGGTGATTCATTGAAGGCTGATGAGTTCTTGGGCAGGATGATTGCTAAAGGAGTTGCTCCTGATCATATTTCGTATAACACCCTTATTAATGGTTTTGTCAGAGAAGATAATATGGACAAAGCTTTTCTTTGGATTAATAAGATGGAAAAAGAAGGTCTGTTGCCTGATATTATCACGTATAATGTAGTTATGAATGGCTTCTGTAGGCAGGGTAGGATGCAGGAGGCTGAGCTGGTCTTACGGAAAATGATTGAGAAAGGGATAAATCCCGATAGGTCCACATACACAGCTTTGATAAATGGACACGTCACCCAGGACAACTTGAATGAGGCATTTCGATTCCATGATGAAATGCTTCGAAGAGGATTTGTCCCTGATGATGTTTTTTAATTTGATCACCATACTGCTGCCTCTCATTGTTGATAAAGGCCATGAACCCTGGACAACTTGAGAGTTCAGTTTCATGGTAAAATGCTGCTAAGCAGATCCATTCCAGCAGACAAATCCTTGTTATTCAGTTCTTACAGCCTTTGTACTTGCTGGACTCAGTTGTCTCTTTGCCAGGTGGGGTATCTTAACTCCTAACTCTATATTCTTCATTCTATTTTCTGCAATATTATATCACAACCCATGCCACTGAAGTCCATCATTTCTTTTGCATGTTCTTGGTAGAGATGCTCAGAGAGTTTAAAAAACAGAGGTTGATTTCATTTGTGTGAGGTGCTCCATTTTTGTTCAATCATAGATGCTCTTGACGAAGGTGAGGTTAAGTGGATTTGAATGGAAAAATATGTTGAGTTGATTTTGAGTGGTTTTGTAGTTTTCTTCCTTGCCCTCCACTGTGTCGCTAACTTCTTACCATAGTTTTTATGCCAATTTTTCTATTTCAGGTTTAAAGAGCCTTGTCTATCAACTGTGAGCAAGGGTGTTATCTAAACTCTTGGTGTTAAGTGTGAGCATAGCTGATAAATTCCATTAAAAAAACTATTATCTGCGGTGAATTCAGAGTTATGTGGATGAGAACAATGAATTTACCACTTTACCCTTAAAAAAAAGCCTTTTGGCTAGACTTTGAGGGCATGATTGTCTTTTTAATAGGGGCATTTTGGCATTTTTAATTGATAGAGGGCACGAGAGGTGTTTACTTAAAATTGCGTAAATTATCATAAATATCCTTAAAATTTATGTTGTTGAGGGGTAGATTTGTATTTTTATAAAGTGCATAGTAAATTAGCCAATTTAACCTATATACAAAAATACTTTGGTTCACTAGGAGTGGTGTTTTTATCTTATTATTTTTATTTGTATAATAAAAATACCTTTTTTTAAGGGTATTTTGGTATTTATGTTGTTGAGGGGTAGATTTGTATATTTTGGTTGGCTAGGAGTGGTGTTTTTATCTTATCATTTTTATTTGTACAATAAAAATACTTCCTTTTAAGGGTATTTCGGTTATTGCACTAGTAATTTTTATGTTATTGTTGGGTAGAGTGAGAATTAGTTTTATCTTTTAATAAATTAACAGGATTTAAAAAAAAGATTGTGTGTTTGGCGCGTGTTAATGCGTCGCCTGCTCTATTGTCTTCATGCATCATGTGCAGCTGTTTTCAGCAAGTAAAAATGCCATTTTATGGTGTCATTAGATTTGTCTTGATTTTTTTTTTTTATAAACATGTAGATAATAAAGTTTTGGTTTAGCTTTAATGACTTCAGCAAGTAAAAATGCCATTTTATGGTGTTATTAAATTTGTCTTGATTTTTTTTTTTTTATAAACATGATGTATGTAGATAATAAAGTTTTGGTTTAGTTGTAATGATTATTTTTTTTCTTTTTTTTCTCCCTTGATTCTTGTGCTCTACCAGACAAATTTTCAAATAGTCTTGTAACTTCTTTTTGTTTTTTATTTTGTTTGTGATTTTTTAATTGATATTTATTTTATTTTAAATAACTCATAAAAATCAAAATTTGTTTCTGTTTCAGTTTTATTTGATTTTTTTTCTTCTCTTTGTTTTTGATTTAATTGTCTATTTTTTTTTGATAATTTTTTATCTGAAATAATTTATGAAAATTGAATTTTTTTAAATTTCATTCTAATTTGATTTTTTAAATTTGTTTTATTTAGTTTTTTGTAAATTGTTATTTATGTCACCTAAGATAATTTTTACAGTGTAATATTTTGGGTGATTTTATCCTTGAGTATTTTTTTTCTTATTAAATTTTGTTTTTTTTATTTTAATTATTTTCTACTTTGCTATCTTTTTTTTTGCTTTTTAATTTTTTATATTTAATTTTATTTTAAAAAATTGAGTTGATTTGAATTTGAATTTTTTGATTAATTTCATTTTGAGATTTCCTTGATTTTATTTTGGAGAATTAACCCTCTTGATGTTTGCTAGGAGTTGTTTTTTTTTTTTTTATCATTCGTTTAACCTATTTTATTTTTTAAAATCTTATTTTTTGATATTTATTTTATTAGAGATTAAACTTTTTATATATATATATATTTTAATTTGGTTGGGTTATCTAGATTTATTTTTGATTCTGTTCTTTATTATATATGCTTTCTCAAAATAATTTGTTTTCTTGAATGATTGAATATTTAAGGATAACTTATTTTAATGTGATTTGTAAAGTTTGATAGAGCATTGTTTTAGCGAATCATATAGTTTTTTTCGATATCGTCTTTTCTTTGTATTATTTTATAATGAAGTTTGAAACAACTTAAAAGGTTTTTTTAGTTGTGGTTGAAGTCTATGGTGGTGTGATAATGGGTTTTTAACCATTTTTTTTTTTGGCCTCTTACAAGGATGATATCGATAACTCATTTTTAACTGTTTGTTTTCAACTCTTGTCTTCAATTTAAATTAGATTATTAAATTAATTGATATTAGATATAGTAAAGTTAATTACCTGAATATTCTTATTTTTTTCAATACACTATTGGCCCACGCACCTTCCAGTCTAGTGATTTGCTGTGAGACCCTGAAAAAAGCACACAGTAGTATAGCGAATACTCAAAAACCCTGGAGGTAATGCTAGGAATAGGGGTGCTAAGAGTCTGCGTTTACTTGCACTCCAGGAGATATGAAGGGTTGGCAAAGGTGGTTAAACCATTTGTCTCCATTTGCTTATGTTCTCTTTCATGACGAGTTCCTCGAAAGAGATGGGATTCCTGATTCAATTACTCAGGGATCTGTATCTGCCTATCTGGCCTCATCCTCCCCTTTATATGCTGTAACCAATCAAAATCTGGCCAAATCCTCCCTTTTTTTTTCTAAATGTGAAGTAATCTCACTCCATATTTACTGTGGTTCATAGACCTGTATTTGGTTTGCATCTTGAAAAGGTGACTCGCTATGACTTGAGTCCCATGAAACCGTTGTCTTCCACTTATTCTTTATCCCCTCGTGGAAATCCATTTGAAACATTACGCTATGAACCAAGAGGTTTTTTATTTTTTTGAGTCTGGCACTAAAAGCTTGTGGAAGATTTTCTGATCCTCTGTTAGCCAGAAGTTCTCTGTTTTTTTGGGCTCCGCCAGATATGAATTTCGAATTGATATCCAGTCTCCTTGGGCAGCCCAGAAAGCTCAGAGGCCCAAGAGAAAAGGGTCAGAATCCAAGGCCTCGCAACAGGGCTGATGCAAGAGGAGAAGAGGCGAGTGCGGGTGAAATCCAAGGCCTCGCAACAGGGCTGATGCCAGAGGCCCATTAGGCAGGCCTAGTAGCGTTTGTAAATTGCTTATTACATTTTCCACACGTTTGGGCGTTTGGAATACCAATGAGCTCAATCCCGTGTGCTCAGCCATTTGGAGTTTGGTGACTGAAAGGGTAAAAGCTCATTTCCTTTTTTCTCCAAGATAGCTTCTGATAAAGCTAAAGAATGAGGATACTTTTATTTTTTGGATGTTATTCTCACTTCAAGAATTATCAATCTCAATCCGTATTTATTTTTATTCATAGACCATATTAAATTCTAATCTTTAATATTATTGTTAAATATCTTATTTATTGGTAGATAGTATTAGGAAGCTCAAAAGAAAAAAAAAATCTTTAACAAGAAAAGAAATTTAGCATGACCAACTTTTTTATTTTAAAAAAACTAATTTGATGGTAGACAACGATTAAAAAATGAAGAAATCTAAATACCCTAGTTACAAAACAAGGCTCTATACCAAATTTCTAATTATAAATGTAATGCTCACATTAATATCATTATATATATATTTTTTAAAAATCTAATTATCATCACTTATAAAACTTATAATTACTTGTATTTTTGGCTATCTAATTAATAAAAGCAGATTATAAAGTATGATAAAGTGGAAATAACACTATATTTTTTATCGTGAAGTTGAAGATAGTTTTTTTATATTATTTGATCGAGGAAAAAAGGAAGAACAAGGCATTACCATAAAACTTCCACTAGATTACAAGTTTATAAGTATTGTGTTAACTAGTAAATTATAACCCTAACATAATGAACGTTTCAGCATTGCATAGTAAATGCCTTTTGCTCCTCTTTTACACGCTAAGAACAATCCATCACCTTACTAAAAAAAATCCATCTACCCTTTTAGAGCACCCTGAGGATAAATAGTTTTGTTTAATGACCTTATTTTCATTCCACACACGATGATAATGGGAGACCTTTTCCCTGTTCACCACTCCGTCCTTCCTTTTTATTACCGAGCAAGAGAGCTGTGCCGATGAAATTGAACATAGCACATGGTTTTATCGACATATGACTCCTCGCATCATGAAGGGTTGATATGGTCGGATTGTATCATAGAAATGTCAAAATCATCATTAGCCAGTCTCATCGTATATTTTTATAGCATGTTTTTTTAGCCGCAACACTCTAAAAGTCTAAGATCAATGAATCTCTCGTTGTACATTTTATAGCATGTTTTTAGCCGCAATTCGTTCTCGCAGAAAAGTCTAAGATCAATGAGTCCAATTTGCTTTGGACAAATCGATGTTTGATGCTTGTAGTTTCTATCCCACCAGTGTCATATTTTTTTTCTGGGCTGCTCGGAAACTCCTTTGCGACCTAAATAAAGAAAAAACCTCTATATTCTCTCTGATCATCATGATGACTAGAGAAGCACGATATGTTTTTTTTTTTTTTTGAAAAAATCATAGTGAGGGGTATTTTCAGATAGTTTGTGCGTTATTTGATATTGATTGTTTTTTTCCAAATAATTTTAAGAATCCACTTATTTCATCGACTTAGTGAATTTATTAAATTATAATTAATTTTAGCATTAAATCCTGAATTTAATAGGTAAAAAAAAGGGGGGGATATTTCCATAATTACCATGCCTATCTTACATTGAATTTCATCGTGCAAAAACGAACTGCTATGAATGGAAATTATGATTTACTGCTGAATAATAAATTGCTTAGGTAAAGGCATTGGTTCATCATACTTTAAAAACTTTCAAATACTCGTTTTTATACATGCCTGCCATGCCTTTACGGCTTAAATTAGATCATTGTGCATCGATATATATATATTCAACATCCCTTATCACCCCCTCAATTTGTAAAAAATGTTTATGTAGTCTGTTGATATTTTATAACTTAAATCATCATGATGCTTTTTAAAAATAATTTTTTTATTAAAAATATATTAAAATAATTTTATTTTTCATTTTAAAAATAAAATTTAACATTAAAATATCAAAACCATTAAAAAATATTAAAAAGAAATCATATTATCATTAGGAGGGTCAGAAACCACAACCCCAGTGATCACTTTCGTTTTTGTCTTTGTAATTGTTCAACGTGTAGATAGATATTGGCCCGATTAAATTGAAAAAAAAACCCTGATAAGGTTCTTAAGAATTAAATTGGACCCGCATTTAATTTTTTTTAAAACTAGATTAGTGTAAAATAAATAACCCCTTGAATTGAAGCATGAGGAATACAGTAGACACGTCTCTATTATATATTTCCGCTGGATACATATGTTCGATAGAGATGGCCATTTCTTCCTTCAACTATAAAAATCACACATGATCCTCTTCCAGCTCGTCTAAATATTTCAAGGATAAACACTGTCTGATGATGATGATGAACTGTGAGAAGGTACAGCTCTGCTTATATCATCGTTATGGACTTGTTAGCATGTTTTTCTGCTGTGTAGGACCCTCTGGTTGAATAATTCAATTGTATGGTTTAAAAAAATGCAATTGAGTGCCTGCCCTTTTGCCTTGAGACAAAGTTTACTAGTCTTTTTTTATTTAAAAAGAAAAAGATTGCTAAAGTCAAAATTATTAGTATAAGAGAGAATATTGTAAATGCTAATTGGTTAGGGTTTTGGTCAAGTTTGATCGTGGCCAAAGATGATTATCAAGATGTGAGGCGGTATGTATAGTTTTGCATGTCTTATTGTTATTGACTTGTAGCTGCATACTACGTGGTTCTATTGTATTGAGATTTGTGGTTTTTTAGGGAAAAAACAAAAACAATTGGATCCTTCACATTTAGAATTTGAGACAGTTTCCCTCCAATTTCACCGAAATCTTTGCTGAAGTCACAATTATTAACCTAACAAAGACACTTTGATACATGCTAGTTAGATGAACTTTTGATCAAGTTTGAATATGACTATATATTTTTTGTTCTTTAGCAGAAATAGTGATGGAACTAGATAGATTGGTGACCGGGATGACACCGAGGGCTTGATCAAAGTTTTTTTAAACCGGAAAAAAATTATTTTAGAAAATGTTTATGTTTTGAAAAAAGTAAAAGATATTTAATAATTCAGTTAAATCTTGATTAATTTGATAATATAATAAAAATATTACAAATAATATTGAATGGTAATATTAAAAAAAATAAGGTAATGATTAATTTGATAATATAATAAAAATATAAAGCAACATCAATAAAATAAAAATATTACAAATAATATTGAATGATAATATTAAAAAAAATAAGGTGAAAAAAATTTCAATTCTTATTAATTTTTCAAACGGTGACTGAGGTTATCATACAACTATATATATATATATAAAAACTACACATAAAATCTAAAATAAAAACATGTTATCACAGAGCACATTGAATTACGAAATATCAACACCCTATCTACAACTTGCAAGTTAACTTGTAATTGTGACCTAATAATAAAAATCAAAACAATGAGCAGCGATCTTGATAGTAACTTTACTTGTTTTAAATGTTAAAACAACTTTAAAACTTGCATGAACATTGGTAAATACCAATTTGGTTGACGTCACATGTCGCATTAATCAACATTAAAACTTGATTAATGACAATTGTAAGTTTCGTTGAGTTTCAAATAACTTGCTTAACATGTCTAATCTTTGAAGGGATCAACTCCGTTCAGTCGCCTAAACTGGCGAAGCACGCACGCAATTGATAATAGATAATTGGCACCACTCATTTCTCCATGGATGACAATGACGAGGATGGTCACCAACCAACCAACCTTTTTAGGCTCACAACGCCGAATGCTTAGCCCATCGAAGCCCTGCTGGGACCATGCTCTTGGACACCAATCGAATTTTAAACTTTAATGGTTCATATATTGGCGAACTAATTCCTCTCTGGTGATTTAATTTTTATTAATTTAATTAGTGAAAACCCGTAACGAGATTTGAACCCACGAAAGTCGTTGTTGAAATCTCGAAACCTTGTGAAATAATTTTTTTAATCCAAAAAATAATTTATTGGACAATGTATTAAATGATTTTATATCAATTTTCAATACATGCTTTCAAGTTATAATTCTTTACATTTGAGATTTGCAAAAACCTATCGTTATCTTGTATTTTACTTTTTAAAAATTGAATTAAAAGAAGCACGTGTAATGGGATTTGAATTCTTAGTTTGATTTTATATAAAAAAAATCATTTTAATTAAAAAACTTAAACTACCAAATCAGATCCTCAAATAATTTTATATTATATTTTTTTTATAACATGAAGTGTTTGGGTCAACTTACATACATTATGATTAATTTCCAAGTCCATTTAACACTTTACAAATCCAGTAAATAAGTAAAATATTAGGAAGATAATAGACATACATAGAGAGAATTGAACTCCAATGTAAAAAAAAAAACAAATCACTTCTCTCGTTAAGCCACAATCTAGAATACAATTTTATATTATTTTTTTAACATTATGTTAAGATTTTTTTTTTTAATCCTAGTTTAAGTTTAGAACAACATAAAAACGTTTTTTATAGTTATTAATTATTAATTCACAATTATCAATTTAAATCTTGGGATGAACACTTAAAAAATTATTAAATCTTTAAAATGCATCAACCTAATATATACAGGGGTGCAACTTTAAGATCATTCAAGGAAAAAAATTAACCTCGATTGAACCCAGTGATAGTTCATAGAACGAAAACTCCCAATGATATATGTCTGAGGGCAAGTATAATAAGCTTGACTTTTGGACTGCTATTTATATAATAAGACCAACCCCATCAATTTTATAAAGAAAGTCGTCTCCCGATAAAAAAAAAAATAATAAAAAAAAACTTGAATGCGTCACAAATGAGATATAAAGGTCAATTTTGTCGCCATTAATATTGCTAATATAAGCTCTTGAATCACGCTCCAACCTGCGACCTGTCACATGGGCAAGATTAGAAGAAAGAACAGGTCATATTAATATTTAAGAAGAATTCGTCTTCCATGGATGAATCCACGTGTTGTTCAAAGTTCAATCCACGTGTAGGATATTGACCACATTACCTTTTAGGTCCCATGAATGAACCTCGATGTTGGTAAATTACGTACACCGTATTCCGAACAAAAGACAAACGATGTCGGTGCATTCTTGAAACGACAACTTCAAAGTCTTGTCTCCCCACTAGATAATGAAAAAATGGGTGTAAATTCTAATTATCATACGGTGAATATTAGTATTATCAGCGTACGTAGCTGTTTTTAGGTGGACAACAGTGCACACATCTATGCGGCCTTATAAAGAAAATAAATAGTAGGAGTCTAGCATAATTTTAACTTAAGATTTCAGATTGATTTAGTATTTTCTTTATCGACGTATGTATGGAATTCTTAGGATATATTGTGTGTGCCAGACAACCAGACAAGTGTTTTTAAAAACAAAATCCTAACTAATTACTTCTCTCTCTCTCTCTCTCTCTCTATATATATATATATATATATATATATAGCATGAAAATGATTGTGCACACGATCTAGTTCAGATTAAAATTTTATTATTAATTTTATATAAAAAATTTTATAATTTATAATTGAGTTATTAAAAAATTTTAAAAATTTATATGAAGCCTTTAATATGATATTTTATCTTGGGTTAAAATTTCAAATTTTTTGAAGAAATTCAAAAATTTAATGAAAAATCACAATTTGATTAATTTTACTTTACTAGACGTAATTTTCAATCCGACTGTCAGATTGAGTTAAAATTTTATAAGGAATTTTAAAATATATTGAATAAAATATAATTAAAATTTTAAAATTAACGAAACTTGGTAGTGCTAACAAGAAAAAAGACTGTCAAATAAAAGTAAAACGACTCATTGAAAGTAAAATGATTATAGACTTACAAAGTCCAACTTATAAAACATTAATCTAAAAAAAAATCAAGTGAATAAAAAAGAAATTGAAAGAGAAAAAAATTTAATTATTTTGTTTTTTAGTTGACATGAGATTATTATTTTATCCCGGTTAAAGATTGTTATAATATCAATTTAGATTAAATTAGATGAATTATATTCAACAAAATATCGAAGGATATAACTTTAATAATATATTTATTTTTATTTTCACTTTAATTTTATATATTTTTAAATTTATTTTTTAATATTTTAGATAATGTATTTGAATTAAATCCTTAACTTCAAAAATTTATATATATTAATTAATAATTAATCTTAAAAAAATTTATATATTTATTTAATAGTCCATGAAATATTCAGGACTCTCTCTCTCTCTCTATATATATATATATATGTATATATTGCGCGCGTGCACCATACTATTGTTTTTAGGATTTCTTTGGCATATGCATACAAGTCTTCCGCTGTTTGAGTCTTCTAATTTTGTCAGTTAGGTGGATTCTCTAGTTTGAAATGGTGTGAATACAATTTTATCTTAAAAAAAAAACCTAATTAAGCCTACAATTGAAAGTCAAAATATCTTTTTTATCGGATAAATTTATTATAGCAAAATTAATTGCAGACAAAATGATCTAGATATGTTTTTTTTTTAATTTTATTATTTAATTAAATTATTTATCTTTGACTTGTTATTTTTTTACTTTTTTTTTTATTTGATTATTTTGAGAATGGATTAATAAAACTTAACCTGGATCATTTGACTCAAGTTATTGGTCCACTTAGACTTTTTTTTAATATTTTTTTATTGGATTTTAGTTTTTTTAATAGGTCATCTTTTTAAAATTCTTTTTTTTATCTTAGTTTCATTTCACGGGTTGTTAATTTATAAAGTTACCTCGAGCTGATTTGATATTTTCTTTGAAGTTTTATTTTTTATTTTTTTTATTTTTATTTTTGACATTAAGTTATTAAACTTTAAATTTAATAATTTTCTTTTATTTGTTTGGATTCTTTTGATCTCATCTTGAGTTGTGTTTTAGTTTATCTAACCTAGATGGTTTTAAATTATTGTTACTTAAATATTTTTTTTAATGTTGAAAATAACAGGCCACATCTATTAAATGGTGTGTGAAATCATAGAAATGACAAAACCCAGTTTCTTTGAACCTCTCTACTTAATTTCCGTTCTGTGTTCACGCTTTGGATTGGAACTCTATGCATGCAAAAATTACATCAAAAGTCAGTGAAGAAATTGCTCAAGATATTTTCAGAAAATCTGAGAACCGTACGTCAAAACAGCTTGATTTTTATCAAAGTCCTTTTATTTGCAATAAGAGCCATCCACGTCTTTATAAATTGTGACATGACATTAGATTAACCCCCAACCGTAAGGCATTCAGCTGACCTGATGAAGGATGTCGGCGGTAGAGTTAATAACCAGCGTTCCCAGTTTTTTCATTAATCTCAAGAGGCCCAGTCTTAATCGAACTGGCAAAAATTCTTCTTCATATTTCCTCAGAGGCGGAACTACCTTCGCACTTAAGCTAGCGTTAAGGGTGTGAAAGTTCACATTTTAGCTTTAAAGATTTTAAATTATACCCTTAAATCTAGACTTTCATAGCCTTTCATTTATTGTTTTATTTTTAGGATATATTATACTAATTTATTTTCAGTTTGTCATCCTGCAGCTTTAAGAACTCTAGTTATTCCGCACCTACAAGCACTTATGATAACGAGAGAGTTAAATAAACATTTTAGCAGAATGGGAGGAGCTGGCAGTAGATTCGAAATATACAATATTCATTTTCTTTTGTGGGATTCCGTCATCACTATATCTCATACATATTCATGTATAAATTAATTAATTCAACCTTTCATGCATGTGTTACTTGCGTACCTTTTCTTCTTCTTCTTTTTTTGTTCAATTTTAAGTTCTAGCCAGATACATAGTTGACCTTAGATGGTGCTGCATCTTCTACGAGTCTAGTTGTGAGACGTCAGTCAATCCACATGGCCATCACCTATAGAGCTCTCTACCTAGCTAGTTATGGCATGGGTGGCATATGCCCCTAGGTAAAGATATTTGTATATTATGATCCAACCGAAAACTTCATCATATGTATAAAGTGTTATAATTAAGATCGATGCCTAGAGTTAATGAAATGTTGTAATCGTCATATATTAATTAGATGGTTGCATCTGTGAGGCTAGATCATACCAGGAGGTCCAGGCAGGCCCTATGAAGAAAAAAAGTAGAGGTCACATGGTTATGGCTAATGAGTTTGACCATATACATCGTATTCACCGGACATTTACATAAATGATGAAAGGCATGGTCAGTGTTCAAAGTTCTTGTAGCTGGCAGGCAGACTAGCTAGGTCTAGCAAGATATCACGGAGTTTTTAACTTTAAGAGATTCATGTATATTTTAATGTCACTTTTTTACACATTACAACCAGGTTATAGCTTAGAGGTTAATTTGTTTGATGTCATTAATTGGGCTTAACATAAAATATATGTGTAATAAGGAAAATTAGTAAGAAGGCGAGGAGTTGTTACGATCTTTTGCATCTCTCTCTCTCTCTCTCTCACGACGAGGAACTTCTTCAAGAAAAACCCAAGTGAACGAACAAGTTTCTCACTTTTTATACAGTGTGAATTACTAATTTTTTGAACACACAGTAATTTGAACATCGTATAATCATAGTTCACATCCTTTCACTAGGTTAAATACGCACAAAAAGAGTCATGATCGATGAAAAAATAAATCCATTTCTTAATAAAGTTTTTCCATGTGCTCATTTTCATGCTATGAAAAGATAATTTCGCTCGTTCAAAATTATAAATATTTTTTTCTTTTCAAATAAAATCAATATAACAAGCGAAGAAACATATGAATGGGAGGTAATGTACCAATTACCTTATATATATATATAAAACACAGAAATACACACACATTCACACTTTCTAACTAGAAAATTGACTTTCTCACCAGTTTTGAGGCTATATGGTTTGTTTTTGTTAAAGTCGGCGTTAACTTCGCTGTTTAGGGTTGGCCAGGGTGACTTTTTGATGAGTTGTAATTAACGACAACGTCTTATGGAAGTTTAAAGACATCTCTTAAAGCAGAGACACACACAGAGTCTTATAGATGTTCAAAGCCGTCATGGCTGACCACCGACCCCATCAAAACCCCATAAAGAAACTAACCTAGACTTTCTCTAAGTCAATCCTAAATCTCCCCTTGTATATTTAACCCCTCCTCTCTCTTCTCCTTCCAAAAAACTAACAATCCAAGCTTCATTGGTTTCTCTCTGTCTCTCTTCAAATGGGAAATGCAGTGTCTCCATGTTTCCATCAAAGTTCAAGAGCTTCATTTGTGAAGCTAATCTTCTGGGAAGGAACCACAAGAATCTTAACAGGCAGCAGCAAACACATAGCTGGAGAGATCATGTTTGAGAATCCAGACATGATGATTTGCCATGCAGATTCTTTCTTCATTGGTCATCCTGTTCCATCCCTGGCCATTGATGACGAGCTCATGCCAGGCCAGACCTACTTTGTTCTTCCATTAGATCGCTTCGCATTCAATGTTTTGTCAGCCTCTTCTCTTGCAGCCTTCAGCGCTAGCCCTAAACGAACCCCTATTAATTTCGGGGAGTCTCCTTTCCAGTACATAAAGGGTGCGGACGGTAGGGTTTTGATTAAGGTTGTGCCGGAATTTATAGCAAGACTTGTAAATAAAGGTGGAGATCAAGATCAAACAGGTTCTAGTGGCCCTACTAATAGTTTTCTTTGTAGCACTCCAGAGTTGAAGAAGCATTATGAACAGCTGGTTGGGTCAAAAGAACAAACATGGTCACCTAAACTCGATACCATCTCAGAGTACAAAATAAGGTACTCTCCCTGCAGGTTCATAGGGTTGGAGTGGAAACAAAAAGAGAAGGCATAATTAATTTGTGTTCTTAGATCAGTTCCATGTAGCTAGAGTATGAAATTACTTAGAAGAAAGAGATGGATAAAAAATACATTAGTGATTGCCACGTCTAATACGAAACTAAAAAAATTATGTAGTTTTCTCCTAGTCATTTGATTATCAATTGTATATAAAATTATGTGATCAGATATAGTTGTGTTTATAGCAAGTACTTTTTGCCTCTTCAATATTGTGCTTGATTGTGACCTCATAATTTTCCAAGGAAAAAGCTTTTTACGCTCTCATTATGCCTGCATAGTATACATATCACGCTGGTTATTGGTTAAAAATATTAGATTAGTGTGTGAAGTCTTATTGATCGGCTTATTTATGAAAATTCATTCCATGGTTAATTAACACCTAGCTAGCAGTTGAAATTAAGGGAGAAAGAGTATTGGAAAATATTATGAAGGCTATATTGTATTATGTATAGGAAAATATTATGAAGGTTATATTGTATTATGTATAACACTCCCTTTATATATATATAGGGTTGTACATGATATTAACTATGTAGTATACTACATATGATTAGAAATCTATATAAGGTAAATACAAGATAAATATATATACATAATAACATTTCATAATATGCCCTCTCAAGTTGAAGGAGGAGAATCCATGTAAAGCTTGGATTGAAAATAAGTGAAGGACACATGAGGAAAAGGCTTGGTAAGCACATCAGCAAGTTGATTTTGGAAGGAGATGAACCAAACCACAATTTTCTTTTCAGCAACACGATCACGAACAAAGTAATAATTGACTTCAACATGCTTAGTGCGAGCATGAAAGATAGGATTAACATACAAGTAGGTAGCACCCAAATTATCACACTAAAGGACAGTCATAGGATTAGAGGAAAAATGAAGATCTGATAGCAGAGCCCAAATATATAAAATCTCAATAGTACAATTTGCAAAAGTCTTATATTCTGCTTCAGTTAATGAACGCGCCACTGTGCGTTGTTTTCTAGACTTCCAAGAAATAGGTGTGCTGCCGAGATATACCAAGTAGCTATCGATGGATTTTTTGTCATCAAGACTACCAGCCTAATCAGCATCTCTAAAACCATGTAAGGAAAGAAAGGACTCCTAAGTGATGTGTAGACCATAAGATGTTATTCCTTAAAGGTACCAGACAATTCTTTTAACAAAAGACCAATGGTAATTGGTAGGGGAGTGCATAAACTGATAGACTTTATTTACGGCATAACAGATATTTGGGCAAGTAAAAATGAGATACTACAAAGCACCAATAATCTATCGGTAATGGGTAGGATCAAAGTATAGAGTATTTGAGGTCAGCAATAGCTTAAACAAGGATAAAGCAGGCGTGTCGACAACTTTACACGAAGATATATTGGCTTATTGAATGATATTGAGAGTATATTTATGCTGTAAGAGTATAAGTCCCATGACAGTTTTGGTGACTTCAATCCCTAAGAAATAATGCACAGAGCCTAAATCTCTTATTTTGAATTCAGAATTTAGTAAGGTAATCAAGTGGCATAGCAGAGTTGAATTGTTCCCAATAAGCAGAATGCCATCCACATACACAAGTAAGTAAATGAGATCATGGCCATTAGAGTAATAAATAGAGAGGTGTCAGCAATAAAGGCACGAAAACCAAGAGAAATGAGATAATCACTGAGTTTGGTATACCATACATGAGGAGCTTGTTTTAAGCCATAGATAGATTTATGCAGGTGACAAACATAAGATAATAGAGCATGGTGACAAAAACCAGGTGGTTGCTCCATATACACCTCTTCTTGAAGAATCCCATTCAAAAAGCATTGTAAACATCAAACTGATGAATAAACCACCCACAAGTCACAACAATAATAAATATTAACCTTACAGTTGTAGGCTTAACAACTGGATTAAAAGTCTCGAGGTAGTTTATTCCTTCTTGTTGAGTGAACCCTTTAGAACCAACGACTGTTAACAACATTCATAAAGGAACAATAAAGAACCAGAGTCCATATACCATTTGATTGCAAAGCCCAAATCTCATCTTGCATAGCTTGTTGCCATGTTGAATTTTTGAGAGATGTCTTTGAACGTGAAATGTTTATATTCAGGAGAAGAAGAACTCAGGGTAGTAGGGGACTGAACAGGACACACAGTAATAGAGGATTGAGACAAACTAAGATGCGTCTGTTTGAGCCGGTAAGGATGAAGTGTCATGTGGTGGTTGCGAGAGGAGTCAGTTGGAAAAGTTGAGGAACTATGAGAAACTTGATGAAGATTAAAATTAGATAAATCAACTACCAGATGCAAGGCAGGAGGAGAGCCGGAGGAAGAACTCGATATGGGGCTCTAAGAGGCCGAGAGGAAGCCG